CGACGTGCCTGGCCCCGGGGCGGCAGGGGGGCTGTCGGGGAAAATGCCTCCAGCGCGGGAGAAGTAGGGGCTCAAAAGTTTGTTTACGCGCCCAGATCGCGATACCCCGAACATTTATCACTAACTGAATGCGCCCAACACCACTCGTCACGGAAAATAGTCACCATTAGAATATAATCATCGGCGTCATTCAAGTTGGCGAAGCCTTCGGCTGACCGACGCCTCTCACGGCTGTCGGGGAAAATGCCTCCAGCGCGGGAGAAGTAGGGGCTCAAAAGTTTGTTTACGCGCCCAGATCGCGATACCCCGAACATTTATCACTAACTGAATGCGCCCAACACCACTCGTCACGGAAAATAGTCACCATTAGAATATAATCATCGGCGTCATTCAAGTTGGCGAAGCCTTCGGCTGACCGACGCCTCTCACTCCTCTCATTTCCAAGTAGACACTAAGAAAACCAGGCTGGGAAGGTCTCTGAACTTGAGGAGAAGCTTCAGGAAGCCTCCAGAAAAGACAAAGAGTACGTAGGAAACTGCACGTGATGTCTAAATATTTACCCAGAAGGTGGGTAGTAAGGAAGGACTAATTAGTATTAAAGATGTCAAATATCACACTTCTAATTATACTAGAAAAGGTAGCACAACGGAAAGTAAATCTGAATGCACATCTGAGATCATGAGAGTTGCTGCTTAATCCCTGGCTGCGGGTTGTTACATCACTTTGCATATTACTATTAGGTGTTGCTTTCTGACATTGTGAGGTGTAGTGCAGTTAAGGCTATCTTTGCTAAAATTGGAATTACTCTCTTTATAGTCAAACTCTGCTGTTTTTATGGTTTCCATTCTTACAATAATTTAGGCTTCTTATCACCTTTCTGTTGGGATTGCTCTGAATAGTTAAATACATTTGCATGTTACACAGGAGAACAAAGTGTCTCTTGTAGAAATGCATATGAAATAGCCACAAGACCCCTCAAGAAACCATACAGAATGCAAGCTAATTTGGCATCTGTGGGAACTATCCAAAGACTGTCCTAAAATCAGACCTTGGAAACAATGGAAGTTCGTGTTTTAATGCAGATTAGAATTCTCCAATAGAATTAGTAGAACTGCATAGTGGAGCTTGATAAAATAATCTTTCCCTTCCTCCGTTAAATTGCGAGAGATTTCAAATACTGTCTGTGGTGGGAGATTTGCCTCCAGTACCAGCGATGTGGAATACTGCTTACTGGACACTGCATATGCCATTGTGGAACACTGTTATGTTGTGTTGTACTTAAGCAATTTGCTGTATATATCCTTGTCTACAGCTGCATACTGTACTATCCTTAGATGTTTTAATACCCATTTAATTCCCTATCACATAATTGATTACATACGTTTTGCAGTTAAGAAAGGTCACGGATTCATACACTCTGTCTGACATTGCTAATTATCCAAAAGATTTTATATATTTAATGGAATTAAAATACAATATTTTATGTAACAGTATTGCCTAAGTGGTTGGAACCAATAATACCAATAGCACGTTAAAAAGGTATGGCATGACCTCCAGTTCACAGGCTATCTCTGATTGTCTTCTTAATGGATATACAAACACAAGGAGACATCCAACCCTTGCAACCAAAACACAAGGAGAGTAACAGAATGTAAACACAAAGCTGCTAATGTACACACTGACACATGAATGACATTTACATTGTTCAGAATAAAATCCGGGATATTCTTGAATAATGAGCAGCAGAAAAATTGCTATAGCAAAATAATCTTTAGAATCAAACACGGACTCATTTGAAATGAGAGGCTTTTTCATTAAAAAATGGTGCAGCTAATAATAAAGTCTTTTAACCTGTATTTTGTTATAGGTGACAGGTGAACAAATCACAGGTCTTGAGTTTCTCTACCCTGCCTCTCTTGGTAACGTCATCTCCAGTACCATCTGCTACCTACCAGACAAACAGACCAACCACATAATGAGGTACCAGCTTCCACCCAGCTACCGTGACTAAATCAGAACAAAAGATTCAACGCCTCCTTCAACAAAGGAACACAAGTCTAAGCTGTCTTTGCTAATTGCTGGGTTTCAGGTTGTCTGTTACAGATTTTAAGTGAGCTACAAACTTCCATCAAATACTTATAGCTGTTGGATAAAGGTACTAAGAATAAAAGATAAATGGAAGCAAAAGGTAAGAAAGAAGAGAAGAAAGCTTAGAAAATAAGTAACTACTTATGGTAATTTAAAGGCTGTGGAATAATATAAACATGAAAGACCAGGGGGCAGAGTGATTGATATCTCATATGTTTTCGATGCCCCTACGGTTATTAGACTGCAATATATGGGAACATACAATAAACTATGAATTAAAATGTAATTGTAGCTTCAGGCATCTTCTTCATTGTCTGCTGTGGTGTTATGTCTTCATGCACCGTGATTGACAAGGTGTAATTAATCATCTTACTCAGTTGTAAATATGGGCACCCTTCACAGTAGGCATCAGGAAGTGTGTACCAGCAAAGGAAGCAATAGTTGACGCTGATATACCATTAAATCAAAATCAGAACGCTTATATGTTCAGAAATGTGTGTTTGGTGTGATGCTGTTATCGTTTATTTCTAAAATACTGTACCAACAGATTTACTTGATTTGCAAGTTAACTACAACATTAACTGGTTTTATTTATTTTGTCTCTTCTTCATTTTTATAGGCAATGATGTTGTTCTCCTAAAATGTGAGACAGTTTGCTTCTTGTCAGCAAGTGGAGCTCAGCTCAGCTCTTCATCTCCCTGAGCTGCCGGAGACAGACTAGCATGCCTCACATTCAGTTGCTCTATAGACTGACTAGAGACGATCCAGGGAAATTATTACTCCATTCATATACCACTTTTTGCACTTCTTATATACTGTTGGAAAGAGAATAATGAAATAACCTATTAAGAACCACTATTCAGTTTAAAAATAGGACATTTCTTGTTACAAATGCTGTCCCCTAACTGTAAAGGAACATGTTTTTAAAGATTTTTTTTTCAGTATTCCAGGGCAAGAAGCATTTTATATCTGTTTCTTTTTCTAAATGATTGCTATCCTTATCCAGTTAATGCAAAAATGGTGTGTGAGTCACAGGAAATTTAAGTGGTTTGTCTCAGGAAAATTTGGTGGTATGCATTTTTTTGATGCTCGTAGAGCTGTTGGATGAATAATTGGCAACCTATTTACTGTCCTCTGCTTTAAAGCTGTCTAGTACATTTGCTGTTTAAAAAAATGTCTTTCAGAGCTGTTAAATATGTAACAAAAAGAGGTTGCTATCCCCACTCTGACATGAACAAAGCCATACAGTGAGCTGCCTGAGGTACTTCCAGCATGGTATTAATTACAATAATAAATGAAAATTTGCAAAGTTCTCAAATTCCATTTCTTTGCAATACCAGCTGATGAATGGTTTATAAAAGCATGCCGTAAAAATATCAGTCCAGGAATCAGCTAATAAATATTACCGAAGCCAAGCATTTTGGGGAGAGCACGGAATCTGTTGGATCTATAATTTCACCACTTCCCCCGACTGAATAAGATCTCTGGCTGTCTCGGAAGCAAACTGAGCTTAGAACAGTAGCGCACTTTCAAGAAGATGATCGACTAAGAATGTGTTTTATTTTGATTTGAAAAACTGTCAATCATAGCAAAAAAAGACCAGATAATATTATTATATAATATTAGCTAATTGTTTTTGTCTGGTAAACCAGGAATATGCAGGAAAGATAAATAATACAGTTTAAAAGGAAAATATTCAGAACGTTTTGCCCAGATGTTGTATTGAAATGGTTTGTCAATGGTACAAGCAATAGATTTCCGATAAAAATACAAGCACGTATCTGCAGATGTGAGAGAAATCAGATGCCCGTGATCTTACATATTTCAGTTTATATAGCCACAGCTATTTAAACAATTCCAAAACTGCCTCTACGGGTGTCAAAGAGGGAGGGAAATCTTCAACCACATGATCTTCTCTCCAGAGTCCTGTTAAATCCACTGAACTTAAAACAGAACAAGAAGTGTGAAATATGGGTTTGAACATGTTATGTCAGAAATGTAAAGGTTGGAAGCCTTTTTAGTAACCGATATTAATATTGTATTAAATGTTATGAAAAGGTAGGTGTTGGAGAGAAGGGCTGGGCTCA